ATTAAAACATTTTATATAAATTTTAACCTTCCAAAAAAGACCTCTATATTATTTTGATTGAAAATTGAATTTCAGTTTCAAATTTTTAAAAAATAGAGGTCAGATTAACTGCTTTTTTGTAACATTTAACTCGCGATACTCTGAAATATTTCATATGTAATTTAGAAAAAATCGTCAATTTTTGAATTACTAAAATATTCTAAGATAACAGACATGAAATTTGGTAACATGCAATCATATTTTAAATTTGACTTAACTAATTAAATGTAAATGAATTAATCGATCCTTATCGTTATATGTGCACTCTATTCGTTGTTCACTCCTGTGGATTTAATCATTACCTAAATCATGCCTTAATCTATGTTCCATAAAATTGTGGTAATAATTCACGTGGGCTGCGTCGCTATTCACCACGTTTTGAACAGTAACACTTTTTCACCACGCATCATTGATCTCTGATTAGGCGTCATTGATCTCTGAACACGCATCACTGATCTCTTATCAGATTCATTGATTTCTGATTAAAATTTATTGATGTATGCTTGCTTATTTGCCATTAATTTCGCTCTTCTATTTAAGCAGCATGATCTTTGCAAAGAGCATCAACACTCCTATGCCATTCAATTATGAGGCAATTGAAAAACAATTACAAGGCCTTAAGCGGGCTAGAAATAGAATTTCAGATTATTTCTAAATGTGGAATTGTGTATTAGCTGATCCGCTAATGCATTGCATTTAAGATGCGCGTTTTTGTGTGTATGCGCAGATGCAATTTTAATAAATTCATCGAAGCGGAACCAAATTTTCGCTTCGAAAATTTTAATATATCCTCAAAATCATTGTTCTTTGCAAAATATTTCTTTTTCTTTTGTTTATACCACCCTTGCTAACAAAATTTCACTTTGCTTTTAATGAACTATATTGACAAAGTGAGTAAAACAAGGTAAATAGAAGGAATCATTTCCATAATAAAAGGAATTTATCATATCTCAGAATGATTTACTCAAAAATACTAAACAGAAATTTAAGTCCAATATAATGGTATTCAGAAGATCGAATTTATGAGTAAAAGAAATCAAATTAAACAAAAACAATATATATATATATATATGAGTAATTTCACAATATGCATTTTCTTATTATAAAAAATAAATAAATAATCGATTAAATAAAAGAACTCAATAAAACTGTTTTTTTTTTTCAATTTACGAGTTAAATCTAATTCTGAGATGATAATGCATAGATTTCAAAATCGTTAACTTCTTTCTCTTCCTGTCTTTTTTATAATAACTTTACCCTACTTCTTTCTTTTATTCGTTCTTTTCTGTCATCTAACTTTTTTTAATGATAAGCAAAAAAATTTTTTACCGCTATAGCACTGAGTTATTGTAAATAAAGTAATTTACGATTGAAAAGGATTAAAATAATAGATTTTTTTATGGTTCAATAGTTGAATGATAATTTCGCATCTGTAACGGATTCTATATTTCATTGGGGATGAACAACAGGTAGGATATATTTGATAATTTAATCAATAGTTGACGTTGTGATAAGTACTAAAACATAATTAAAATAACATGTAAAATTAGAAATAGTTTAAAAAGCTTTTAAAAACCATCAATCAAATTAAGATGTAAAAATTTACGACCAAAAAATTCTTGATCAAAAACTCGATAATTTTTTTTCTTCTTTTTTATTATGGATTTGTTTTTGCAAAATTTTGCTGATTGTGCATGCTATTAAAAAAAAATCATATGTATTTGAATAAGTAATCATTATCTGTTCTAATTAGGGTTTTATACCTTTCTCTTCATATATCTTTTAAGTTTCAAGTTATTTACTATAAAGTTTTCAACAAAATCTTTTGTACATATTTTTTCTTTTAATGCATCGTTTGATGATATTAGTGGAGAGAAATTAAATTTTTGTAGAGAGTTGATTAAATTTTTCAATTAAAGAGAGAAAATTCTCTTTCTCTTTTTCTTTTTTTTTTCTTTTAACTCATTTAATCTCATGACGAAACTTTGCAAACAAGTTGTGATCTCTTTATTGGTGTCATTTCATGATATTTTATTTCATATTGTTTGAATTGGAAGGCACAAAAAAAGCTCTCTCTCTCTCTCTCTCTCTCATTCAGTAATGCTAATACTTTTAATGGATCGTAACTGCAAATTAAACTTTTTTTTTTTAAATTTCTCTAATTAAATTTATATGTTAAATTATTTTACATTGATTTTATCGATCTTGCTAAAATCCTCATGAATTTTGCCAGATTTTTAACATATTTAGTTCAGTTAAATTTAATCAAATTGCATTAAATTTTATACAAACTACAATTGCTGAAATAATCGTTTTTTTTTTCCAATCCAACAAAAATTTTAATGTTGTTGAAAGTCACTTTAAAAAAAAATTGAAATTTTGTAGTAACTGCAAGCTGGCATTTTCCGGTTCGTTAACGATTTGAGAAGAAATGACTGCCCAATGGCCATCGATAAATTCTCGAGCAAAAAATGCTCCCTTCACTGTTTGAAATATATAATTTGTTCTAGCTTGTAAAATAGTTTAGATGGATTTTAAATGATTGACTTTATTTTTTTATTACTAAAGAAATTTCAACCTGGTAGGTATATGCGGTATTTTTTCTCTTTCAATCAGTTCTGTTCTGCTGATAGGTGGATAAAGCTGATAAGTGATAAAAATTCGTCATCAATAATAAAAGATTTGGAAAGCTAAAGTTGATTTAATTTATTTGCTTGTTTGGTTGAATGTTCGTGATAAAGTAGAATTAATAAAAAGTAGAATTTTGAATTGATTCTCAGATATGGTAACTTTGTTATTCTAATAAAATTTTAACAGATGAAGAAATTGTAAATGAGTTTAAAACCCTCAAAATAGCGTTTAAATTTAGTCAAATTGTCTCAGCTTCAGCCAGAAGACATACTGATTACTACTGCCAGCTGAGAAGCTAAAAGTATTTTGTTTACCTAAACTTAAGTAAACATTTATTTAGTTTCCACTGAATTGATTCGGTCAAGGTTCCTCTGAATTTCAGAATGCTTCGTTAAAATTATTTGCTTGATTGATTGAATGTTCGTGATAAAGTCTTGAGTGATACATTAATAATGAGTGATAACATTCAGTTGATAATGGCTGCGGTAATCAAAAGTTATCCTTCTTTAATGATGAAGAAAAAAATGTGTATTACACTTTTTGACGATAACTGATAACTTTTTTCTGTTTGCTTATCAATTATCTAACAAAACTGACACGTTTGAGTGTCAGTTTGAATTGTTTGCCAAAACTCAAACAAAAGAAAAAGAGATTTTTCCAAAATTATGATAACAAATAAGGAAAGAAAAAAAAGAGAACGAAATAATGACAATAGGTAAAAAGATTTACAGTAGTAGTGAAATGATGTGTAACAGTTTAATTATATTTTTAAGGTTTATGCTATTCTTACCTTTTAATTTTTGCTAATTATTATTATATGAGAAAATCTTGAAATAAAATGAGTGATTTTTGAATTTTAAAGTAAATTCGAAATAAGTAGTTTGGAATAAGAGCTTCTGAATATTGCATAATTAGTGATAAATTTTGAAATGCTTAGTTTTATTTTACATTTCAAAACTACTGCTCATCAGAAATGAGAATTGACAGTGTATGCATTTTTATTATTAATGATAATAGTGTTCTATCATTTCAAGAAGCTTTTCTTTTATCTTTGTTCATTGTTTTATTCAACGACTTTCCGGCGTATAGTGATGTGAAAAAAAAATAGGAACTTATAACTTTAATTCAAAATCAAATTTCCTTGAACAGAATTAAATTTTTATAATAATTTAAATACATTTTCACTGAAATAAATCAGTTTTAGTGTGGTAGTTGCAAGAAATCTGGGCAGTTGTCGTCAAAACCTTCGAAATTTGAAAAGAAAACTAACAAAGATTTATTGAAGAACAACGCAGATAACCAAAATAAGCTAAAATCGAATAAAATGGAAACTGAATTGGGTAAGATCATTACTTATAAAATATGAAATATTATTAAGAGTTTAAAAAGTTATGAAAATTTCATTCAAGTTTTTTATATATCTCATTTTTCTATATATTTCATATTTTTTGAAGCTTTTTTAGAAAGTGGAAAAAAAAAATAGAAATAAACTTTTCAATTTTTATTAATTTTGCTGTACTGAAAGAGGAATTTTTTTTTGAAAAATAATCCAAACAATTTTTTAAGGGCAAATTTTTAGTAAATTCCTCATTTATTTAAAAATTTGAAATTTCATTGGGCTAATTGAAAATGTTTAGCATTAAGTGGACGTATGACACCGGTTGAAATGTTGAATAATTTTGGATTAGAACGATCGTTATCAGCAACGTATAGCGATAATCGATATGTACAAGAACTATTACCCGGAACAATGCCACAAATTGGAAATTCAGGAATGAACAACAGGCCTAATAAACATATCGGTTGCGAAAAGGTCGAGAGGCATGTTTTGGAAGATTATCATCAAACATTAATTTAATTTATGCAGAAATATATTTTAGATGCAATCAATAGAGAGAGAGAGAGAGAGGGAGAGAGAGAGAGGAAAAATAGTAGATTAAAATTTACAACTTATATTTTTTTTATAATCTTTTTAACTGTTGATTTAATTGTCATGTTAAAATAATCAATCTATCAAATAAATTTGATATACATCGAAGAATTTTATTGAAATGTGGAATGTGATCCGGTATTAGGTGTTAATTAGCATTGCAAATGGACGAATTGTTGACAATATTGTAAATATTTTAGTAGTGTTGTCAATCTTTTTAACTTTTTTAGCTTCATTCCTCTGAAATCAATAATGTGAAGTGAGGAGGCAGCTAATTTATAATTTATTTTCATGTAGACGTTTTAACAGATCAATCTATTTGATTAAAAAGCGATTGCAGATAAAATAATTAATTTTGAGTGATTAGTTATCAGAGAAAGTGAAAGTAAAAAGAAAGACGCATATTTCCGGTGAATAATTAATTGTTTAATTAACAAAAAGTATGCAATCATATAAATTGCAATAAGTTAATAAGTTTTAAATATTGAATCTTTTTTTTTGAAATTTATTTTGTTTTTTAAATTATAAATAATTGAGCGAAAATAAAGTAAAAAATAAATGGAAATAAAAATAATTTGATAAAATGGATAAGTAAACGGATAAATAAATGGATATTTAGCGCTTAATCAGATGAAATAAAGCTGAAAAGTTTAAGCAGTAAATTAGTGAAATATAAATATGAAAGTTAAATATTTGGACTTTGATACTTTCACTTTGATATCTGATTATCATATGGAAAATATCACTTTCATATTTTGTTTTGACTTTTTCGTATGTATATTTTTCCTCCTAAATTAAATTGCTGCCTTTTATGAGCTATTTTGTTGTTGATGTTATATATACTAAACAGTTACGAGATTAGTATTGAATTTTGATTTCTTTTTCTGAAAAAAAAAAATTTGTTTATTCTGAATAGTGATAGTTTATTGGAGAAAAAGTTAATTTGTGTAAAATCAAATTTATGTCATAGCAAATTTATTCATTTAAAAATAGTTCAAGATTATATATTTATTTATTTCAATTTCTCATCAAAATGTTGACGAAATGTTGTTCCGAGTAATTGCAAACTTTTTAAAGTGTGATATATCATATCAGAGGAATTTGAAAGAAATATCACGATTGATTTAGTGCGAAATTTTATACAATTATGTAAGAATTCAGATAGAGTTTAATAGATCCATTTTGATCATTCCTTTCTATTATTATCAATTGGCTAAGTATTAAGCTTAGGCCAATATTTTGTTAGCCAACGGAAGCTGACTTTTAATACTGAAAAAATTTTTTTAATAAATTTTTTCAATAAATGAGCTTGGATTTACTGGACTGCAATATTAGTACGTCTGTAATGTTGCATAATTTTTTGCCGAATTAACAATTCATTAATTTTTTTTTATTTTTTAAAATTTAGAATTTGAATTCAGAAGCTAGCGAAATTTTTGATCCAATCTTTTCAAGTCTTTTCAGGCAAGATAATTTGAAATTCAATCAAATTAATTGCTTAATTTGAATTTATCTAATAATGCGTGATTGCAGAAGTTATTACGAAATGTCTTCCTGAAAAATTAAACCAAAAATGAGTTTGTACCATCTTTTGCTTATTGTGAATTTATAACTGAATTTATACCATCTTTTGGCTGTCACATTTTTGAAAATTTTATTTAGTGGGAAATTATATTTTCTATATTTTATGAGATTTAATGGACGATTTTTTTTTTTTGAGTGGTTTATTAAAAAATGAAATCTAAACGATGGTAAAATCTTCTATTACTGCAATTCATGTGGCTTTCTAATAAAATTTATTACTATTGTTGAAACTTTTTTATTCATGCAGAAGCCTACTAGCCAATTTTCCCTTCTATCATTTTTTATTCTTTAAAATTTTCATTATTCTTACTAAATTCAATTACGATCATCCAGAATTCATCGTTTCTTTATTTATCCTTCTTTTTCCATTGCAATTATTATCAAACATACATGAATTTTTTGCAAATTAAGAAGAACATTCATTTCGAAATGTTATAATAAATTAAAGGTAATAATTCCAAAACAAAACAAAAAAAAAAGCTGCTACAAAAGTTTTGTTAATTATCGTTTCATTCAACCTTGAAATAACTTACTTAAATACTTTTTGAATTTTAATTCTTTTCAATGTCATCTTTATCTTAAAAGCGATTTATTTATTTATTTTTTTCAATTGATAAATGAAAGAATTGATAAAAAGTGTTCAATTATTATTGATAAAATCATTGTTATCACTTATACTGCAGCAAATTCTTAATAAATGACAAATTTTCGTCTATTTTTATCTTTTTAATTAATATGTTGAACTGAAATATTTGTTTGTGATTAGTTCATACTCGTAGTAGCACTAATAGTAGTAGTAGTAGCAATAGTAATCGGTAGCATAAAAGAGTAAAGATGAATGAATAGCACCAATACATGCACATGCGTACACATCTATTGGCTTTATACTTTGGCACTTTTTGAAAGGTTGAAAACGTCGTTATGGCTTATGGCGGCGGTATGAGAAGCAGAGAAGTATGAAACCGTCGAGAATGCCAACAGCGCACCATCAGCTGACTACAACCCGACCCGATGATGATAACTCAACGTTTTCTTCCTTTCAAAAATCTCCCATTTGAACATTCCTTTTACTTTTTGCTTCTTCTCTAATTTTTTTTTTTCCTCTCATGTAAACAAATTTCATCATCCTATACTGTTTTTGACTAATCTTATCATCATCGTTTTTGAATGCAAAAGTGGTGTAAGTTACTTATCATATGCTGAGCGCATAAATGATAACTATTGAATAATAATAGCTAAGCAATTAAAGAAAGCATTCTCATTTCATTAACCATCATCATAGCTATTGGCGGTTTTATTTTGAATTAAAATTTTTCATACTGATAACACACACATACACACACACGCACACGCACACTCACACACGTAAGTTATACACTGAATTCACGTTTTCATTCTCAGAAATTGTCTTCATCAAAAAATTTTAACAGTTAGTTGCATTTTAATAAAAAAATAAAAGAAAATAGCTTAGCTTGTGCTATTCCATTTCATTTTTTCCATTAATTGTTTCATTCATACTGATTAAAATGATTGATTCATTTTACTGAATAAAAATTGGCAGAGTAATTTCTCAACCATTTTCTTATTTTAGAAATTAATTTTGAAGCTTTTGAATTTAAACCAAATTTTCAAATTTTTTCATTTATTTTTTTTTCACTAATGAAAATGAGAAATTATAGAAAAATTAAAATAAAATTGCATACTTCAATTAAAAAGAAATTAAAACAAAATTGTGTATTTTTCCTAAATTTTATATTGTTATATAGGCACGCAAATTGTGTTTTGGTATTCTTAATAATACTGTTATTCAAGGAATTTGTCAATTTGTAATGCTAAATGTGATTTATCGGGATATGAAGTTTTAAATTCTCGTTTTGTTCATTCATTCAATACCTCTTCTAATTCCTCAAATCTTCAACTTGCCTTATCTTCTTCAAATTTAAAATTATTTATGTTTTGTTTTTTAAATTTTCTTCTCGAAAATTTATTTAGCCTAATATCATCCATTTAATTGCCTTTCACGATTTCGATCTAATCTAAATTAAATTAATCCAATAATGAGCAAAAATTATTTTTATAAAATAGTCTATAAGCAGCAATAGTGTATTGTCGCAGTTATGTTTAATCGGAAAAAAAAAATGTCGGAAATAAAGCCGGGTCAATATATATTCATATATCATCACGAGTTAACATGCAATTTGGTATGAAGCTGGCTAGCCTAGGAACTATTGATTAGCCTAGGAATTGATACCACTAATGTGGTTTTGCATTTTTGTTTTTCTCATTCACTACTATAATTTAAGAAATCTTTGCAAATGATTAACTGCATTCTAAATATTGCAAGATTTTGATTTCATTCCTTGACATTGCATAAATTAGTCGCTGCATTTTCCAATTTTACTGTCCTTTGTTCTCTCTTCGTGCATTATCTCAAAATAATTCATTATTCTTTGATTCAGTTGAACAAATAAGTGAAAAAGTTGCTATATATGAAATTACATTTTCATTAAGCATGATATATTTCCATCAATTTTGCATTATTTAATTAATGAAAAAGGACATTTTTCATTACTATCAATCAATGATAGACTTTCCATCGATCAATTCTTGTATTTCAATAAATGTAAAACCTTTGTGGTTTTCCGCTTCTCGATATTTTCTCTTTCGAAATTAAATTTGTATATAACTTTTTAATTCCATACTAGATATCATCACTGGCATCATTTTCCTCCATTTGATAACGAATGATACAAATTAAGGCACTAAGTTCATTTTCCATTTTATTTTATTCCCTTTTTTTTTTTAACAATCTTCCACATTTCTCTTTTCCATTTAACAACACTCGCACAAAATAGAAAAATTAAAGAACTCAAAAAAAAAAAAAAGTCGATAATCTTTCAATCGTTTAGGTACGCTTTTCAAATTCCTACACAATGTTGATTATTTTACGTTTTATTATATTTTTGTTTTTTCAT